TAGCGTGGGTGGCATATCATGATGACAGATGCATTCCTGACCTGTTGCTTGCTCAGCTGGTGGTAGAGATTTCCCATTGATATAGATTTGATTCAATTATGTGAAATAAATAGAATTTCTTCACTTTAAAATATTGTCAGTCAAATCTTTGCTTTTGTGGTCTTATATTGCAATCTATAGAGCGTTGTTGACTAAAATAATGTTTGTGAGATCAGTTTTACAAATTGTCATGATACTGCAGGCCAGTGGTTCCCAACCTGGGGGTCGGGACCCCACTAGCCTTCTGGGTTTTAAGGCCATGTAAGAAACTGAAAAATATACACGTAGGACTATATTTCTCATCTGGTTCACTTCTTCACTTCTGTGAGTAATCACATTTCTAAAATAATCTAATGCTAAATTGTCTAATAGAAAATGGCCAACGCCAGGGACAAAGAAAACACTGATCACTGAATTTTCAAAAAAAGAGCCCTATTAAGTATTTATTTGCTTGCATTGTATAAAACGTTTCTCTTAAAGCGAAATAATCTGTTACAAAATGCATCTAGGGGTCCTGGTTTTACACCCCAACTATCGCGTTACTGAGGTTCCTATTGCGATTAATTGCCTACTTTTTTTATATTTATGGACATTCCATAAACGTGTGTCTGAGAAAGGTGTCTGTGTATTATCTTATACGAAAGAGTCTCTTTAATGAAAAAGGTTTGGGAATTCACCGCTTTGGTGACAGCCTTGGTTTAGGCATAGCAGAGGCTTCAGAACTTGCAAGCTTTTTTTTCTTCTCTGCTCTCTAATCTTGGCAGTATTGTCCAACTCGCTGCGACAACAGCATGATGGACGAAGGGTGTGTAAGAGCATACTGGAAGAAAGGACAATCATAAAAATGTATATTAACATAATTCTCTGGTAGGGTAGATTTCTCATACAGGAGCTTATTGGTATGCTGCTCTATGGTGTGGAGAGAGAACGGGCTTTAATGTTTCAGCAAACGATCACACTGGTATCCACTGACAGTTCGTCAGCCACTCCGTTTTGGAATGTTTTACTTAAGCAGTACCAGCATTTATTTAGATTTTTTTTGCGCGTCTAGGCCCTTTTCCCGACCCCCCTCATCACTCCCGCAATATGTTTACATCGAGATATTGGGGAGTGATGCGCAAATCCTTTAACCCCCCAGTCGGAGCCTACAGGTTGGATGCTGGGTGGTGGTGTGGCTTACAGAGCAGCAGGCAGCATAGCTTTACAGAGCGCCGCAGCAGCGCATCAGTAAGTTTGATGCAGGGCACAGCCGGCTTGACGAGCAGAGGAGAGCTGGGATTCTGCCAGTTTTAAATAGTACTGCCAGATTGGAGGGATTGCTTGGTTAGTGATTATGGCATAAGGCATGTCATGTGTGTAATCAGTGCAGCTACTATTAATGTAGTTGTTGCTACTGTTGTTGCTGTACATCTGTCCGTCTCTCTTTTCTCTCTCTCTCTCTCTCTCTCTCTTCTTTTCCCCCTAACTGGTCAAGCAGATGACCACCCACCTAGAGCCGAAGTTCGTCCTCAGGTTTCTGCCTGTTTAACAGGCAGTTTTTCCTTTGCCCCCGTCACCAGTGCTCTGCTCATGTGGTCTTGTTCGGTCTTCTGTAAATGTTAAAGGATTCGGTCTTTAGATCTGCTCTATTTTTAAAAGTGTCCTGAGATACTTCTGTTATGCAGAACCTACCAATCTTTTCTCCTGTGGCATGTCTTCCACTCAGAGCCAGGCCACCATGCCACCCACACCTCCCCTGACACATCATTCTTCAGGAATGCATCATCTTATTGCCCCATCCATTATTCGGTCACCCTAAGTGACAACCTTATCTGAAATCCTACTTGCTCACGTGGAAAAAAACACTGTCCTTTTCCTCTTCAGCCTAGCAGCCCACTAACCTGAGAAGAAAAACTCACCTATTTGATAACAAGGTTTACTCTATCAATTTCTTAACAAATTGTCTGCTTACCTTTTATTGTATTCTTCATAACCTCGGGTGCGTCAGGTTGTCTGAAGTTTATTTAAACTACCATAAATGCACTTTCTTCTCTTTAGGTTAGACAAAAGGTATAGACAGTAACTTTATCTTGCATTGGAAGGGGAGAATTTGAGGAAATCTTTGGACAGGGAGCTGTTACAGTTATAGACTTGAATATTCAAGTGATCATTACATCTTTATTGTGCAACGGCAATGAAGAATATCAGATGATTTTGAAATATAATTTTCTGTTGATTTCTTCTTTAGGGACAGACAAAACAAACATTACGACAACTAACAAATACAAGATAAATTAACTATATGTTAATAAAATAGACAATAATTTAAATTTAACTTTATCATTTACAATATTAAAAATTAATATATATATTAAATATATAAATATATAAATAATCATATATAAAAAAATAAATTAAAAATAAAAATATATATTATATTAAATAAATATAAACAAGAAAATTAAGGAACATCACTAGCTTAGATAACATTATAATAAAATAAGTAAAAAGGAATAAGAGATCAGCTTAATAAAAATAAAAAAAAAAAAAAAAAAAAAAGATTAAAAAAAAAAAAAAAAAAAAAAAAAAAAAAAAAAAAAAAAAAAAAAAAAAAAAAAAAAAAAAAAAAAAAAAAAAAAAAAAAAAAACAAAAAAAAAAAAAAAAAAAAAAAAAAAAAAAAAAAAACCCACACCCCACACCAAAACTTTTGCTGTATATCAAATACACTACAAACCAACAACAGTTTTATTGCTCTTAGGGTCTTAAGAACCAGCAAGCTACGTCTTGATCTTGTTGTGTAGAAAGAGATAACAATATCCTTTCTTGATATAATATACCGAAGCTTGCATAAAGCGCTCTTAGTGCTGTATGTGGCAATTAAATGTTAACTATTGAGACCAGAAAAACTATAATAATTCCATATATCTTGAGGCAATCAAGCCGTGAGTGGGAATTGTAGTCAATAATAGATATATTTTTTTTAATATAAAAGAGATAATAGAATTTAATGAAACTTATAAATATATATATGGTTCACACTGCACAATAATAAACGATATTAAAACACTACAAAACCACCAGACATAATAGGAGAGCAATGCCAAAAAAAGAAGAAACAAAACCAACGCAAAAAAATTACTTACCACCCCCTCACACAATGCTACCTTGAACAACTTGAACAATCTTTGGTCCTCACGCACAGCAGAACCTCATATTATTAAATCTGAGTAAGGTGTGGTTGTGACTTGACTTTGAATTGCTCGTCATGACTTGAGACTTGACTTAGACTTGCATGAAATGACTCGACAAGTCATTGCTGTCTTTATTAATATGTGAATTATCAAAAAAATATATTTTGTTCGATCGGATGTTTCCTGTTACATGTGGGCGAACCTGGCAACCTGTAATCTAACCAAGTGACGCACCATCACTGACTGCAGCGGTTGTAGAGTGGCCGGAGCGGAGCACTTGGAAGATGGAACTGGAAGGAGCTGCTGGCACAGCAGCTGTTCCCAAAATTATAAAATTTGGTTTCAGAGACTTTTCTAATGAAAACAAAAAAAGAATAGCCGTGTGCAAGGTCTGCAGTGCCAAAATTTCGGACGCCTCCAGCACCACGCCAAAATTCATTCGGCATTTCAGGTCACAAACTGCTGGTTTAAAACACTTTTGCATCAGCTTCACTTCATGGACCCAGAAGCTCTGTCCAATTATATACACTGTCAATGGATACGCCTTTATTTAGAAATTCCCATGGGCCGTTTTTAATCACCATCTCTGTCCAAGGGCACATCCTTCCTAAACAAAAAGTAGCTATACAGTACACTAACGTTTGTTATCTATCACCGTGTCAGTTTCAGTTTTCTATGAAGACGTAACAACACTTCAGAAAGTTTAACAGAGTTGAATTTCTCCACAGAAACAACTTTGTTGCTGTAGTTTTTTCCCTTGTCCTCAGCTGCAGCTGACATGAGCTCAGGCGGATATTGTGTTGTTGCTGGCTGAAAAAGTACATGTGACTAAAAAGGGGTAGTCAATAAACGGAGAGTTTTATACATGCTATCAATGTATTATTTTATGATTTTAACTCCTAATTTCTTGTTGGTAAAGCAAGTTAAGAGTTACAGGTAAGAATTACAACTTCTGGTAGGGCTCTGCTGCTGCTGGGACACGGACAGTGAACTGAAAGTTAAAGCTGCAGTAGGTAACTACACGAAAAATTACTTTTCGTCATATTTGCTGAAACTTTCACTATATCCTGACAGTAGAACTTGAGACAAATAATCTCAAGTCTCATGTACTACTGTCAGGATGTGAGGATAGTGAACATTTCAGCAAATATGACCAAAAAAAACACAACAACAAAACTCTCATAGCATGGATTAATGTGAGTCAGAAACAGGCACAATAACTTTCATTGTTTTCCTAGTGTGAAGGGAGGCAGTGAGAGACTAAGGGATGATTTCCTGCCCTGTTGGACTGCTGGCAACTGGCTGACAGACAATCTCTCTCTCTTCGATCCTATGCCTGACTATTGCTGTTCAAACCTGTTACTGACTGCTCACATGACTGCTCACATTTGTGACTGTCAAGGTGTCTGTTACACTCAGCTATCCCAGTCATCGTGTAGCCTAACGTATATTGTTAAATGGGCATATGATCTTGTCTAATATCAATCGCAGGCTGCTGAATCAAATCAAAATCATATCGTGGCAGACTTTGCGATATAAAAAAAGCGGTGTGGCGTAGATGGCAAGCATTTCATTAGAAGCACAGTGAGGCCCAAGAAATCCCTGATGATGACAATGATATCAGTCTTATTACTTTAACCACTTATGTTAAAAGTGCTTGAAACTAAAAAGAATAATGCAATCACCTTTTAACTTGTAGTAGTAGTAAAGTAAATATATAAAGTACAAAGTGACTGTGCGTGAGTTTGTTGGCAGTGATACATAGCCTGGGAGTACAGACTGCCAACAAGTCCCTAAAGCATGAATGTACCTGCAGAGAAGTTGGCTGGTTGAGTTCAGAGTTCACTTTTTAGTAGTTTACTTGTGTTTTTGGACCAGGAATGTTAACGGTTTTCATCATTTCAAGAAGGAGTCGTGACAAATAACTGGACAGTCGCCTAGCTGATTTCAGGCATGAATCTGTTCTATCTACACACGCTTACCTTCGTGCACGGTCACCCCGCAGTTGTCACACTGGATTATCTCATCTGCATCCTCGCTGTTGTCACCCAAACAGACGCAGCAGATGAGGATGTGCTGAGTGCTCCAGGTCTGGGACCGGTCCAGCAAGGCATCCTGGGGAATCGGGGAAACAGAGCCACAGTAAAGCCACTTATCCAATGTCCCCTCCCCTCCGATCAGACCAGCAGTGATTGGCAGTTAGTAAATCCCATAGACAATGCTCACAGTGCTAAGTCGATTACAACGAAGGCAGAAATTCTCCTGGAATCACTTTGATACCATCTAAACCTCTCACTGGATTATATGGTGACTCTGTGACTCACATTGTTGTTTGCTATTATGCAGTGCCATACAAAGTAGCCAATGTGCAGACCAAATTCATCTGCAGTGCCTTTCATAACTAGGACAAGGTGGAAGTTTGCTCAGTATTAGCACAAAGTAGGCGTCACTAAAAGTTTGTCCAAATAAAACACAGGTATAAATAACACAATTATGACATAACAGGCACTATCATATCAGAGAATAGGAAACTTGATCAAAAACATATATGTGTTTTCTTTAAAGGTGTTTTCTAGTTTGACATTTTGGGAAACATGCTTGTTCACTTTCTAGTAGTATTAGAGTATTGGATGAGACCAGGTCCATGCGAAGCATGGAGCTAGGGCCACATTTCAGAATCTTCCTCAGTCTGAAATCCTTTCTTATGGCAGTTTAGGACAGAATTTAGAATTTCTGGTATTATAGAGACATGTTTCCTAACTTCATTTATAAAAAAAAATCTCTTCAGACTAGGTTTTACAGAACTGTTCCAACTGAATAATTTCCTAATTAGGAATCCTTCTAGAAATAGTTTTTGTTAAATTCCATAATTGATATATATAAAAATAAACAGCTGTATCTGGTAGTCTGCTGCTAACAAATAATGGAAATTAACATTAAATAAATACGAGCGCTGTAGCAAAAACACAAAATGTAATTGAATTTCAGTGGCACTCACCTCGTTGCCCTTTCCCTGGGACATGCTGTCATTAGTCAGCTCTTCATCAAAAGCACTGCTGCTCTTAGTCTTCTTCTTGGGCTTCTTCATCTCTTTGTCACTATCGCTGCTACTGTTGTTGTTGTTGTCATCGCCATCTTCCTTGTCATCCTCGTCATCATCATCATCCTCATCCTCATCATCGTCGTTATCATTTTCGTCGTCGTCACTGCCACTGCCGCCGTCCTCTTCCTCTGTCCCACCTTTCTGAGCAGCTGCTTTGCCTTTCTTCTTCCCTGCTGTGGGCCTCCAGTCGTTGTCGTCCTCGCTGTCATAGTCGTCCATCTCATTCAGTTCCTCCATGGTGGTGAAGTCCAGCAAGGGCCGGTTCCTGCGGAAGTTCCATTTCTTGGGCTCGGCCTGAGACTCTTCTGAGTTGGTGCCACCGGGCCCTGACGTTGAGGTAGATTCCGCGCCACCAGCCGCAGGAGCAGGTTCAGGCTCTGATGTCTTCTTGCTCTTGCGTCGGTTTTTGGGCGGGGTGGCGGCGGGGGTGTCTTTGGTGGAGCTGTCTGAGGAAGGCTGCTGTTTGGCCTTCTCTTCGTCTTCCGTTAGGTTGTCCTCAGCAGTCAGGTCTTTGGCCTCCTCTTCATCTATACCATCGTCTGCTGAGCCAGCGTTGTCCGAGTCACTTTCTGAACCTGCAGCACTTGCTTTAGACCCTTCTTCGTCGCTGCCGTTGCCTGTGCCGTCTGATCCTGTCAGACAACAAGACAGTGACAATAGGATCAAAAGTGGTTCGCAACTCTGAAATGGGGAACCCATGATACATTTTGGAGGAGCTCACAAGATGATTTGAAACATAAGAAAGAAAAATACATATTCTGTTATGTTATTCATAAAATGTTATATATATATATATATATATATATATATATATATTTCAGTTAATTATTTATTTATTAATATTATATTAATTCTCTTAATTTTCTTGCTAATTTTGCCTCTTTAACACTTCAAAAATCTTCAAATGAAACAATCCAAGAGTCTTTAGTCCAAGTGCATACAACCTTAAGAACCTATACAACCCTTTGACCTGTTCATTGTAAAACCATACACAACTGTTAAAGAGGCTATTATATGCATCCAACCTTTAGCCCTGTGTTCTATCTTACACTCTATGTCCAAGTAAACAGCGGGATGTTGAGACTTCTTAAAAAGCCCAAGGACATGATCATCTCACCACACTGTCTGTCTGTTTACTGTCCCAGAACTCAGGAATGTGTAACTGTGTTAGAGTGACGCTCCAACAGGGATAAAACATTACTGCTTCTGCCAATTGAGCCAAAAAGGGTTGGAACCACTATATATCATATATGCTGGGGGATGTACACAATAAAGGAAGCTTCAGTAGGCCTGCAACAAATCTTACCTTTGTGAATCTTTTATTGATAATTAGGATGTAAAATTATATAGGTAAGTAACTTTTTGTCATTATTTGCTGAAACCTGTTGGACAGTTGGACATGAGACAGATAATCTTGTTCTTCTCGGCTCTGATTGCGTCAAGGCAGATGACCACCCACCTAGAGCCGAAGGGTCTGTCCGAGGTTTCTGCCTGTTAAAAGGCAGTTTTTCCTTGCCCCCGTCACCAAGTGCTTGCTCATGGTGGTCTTGTTCGGTCTCTGTAAATGTTAAAAGGAATTCGGTCTAGACCTGCTCTATTTAAAAAGTGTCCTGAGATAACTTCTGTTATGCAGAACCTACCAATCTTTTCTCCTGTGGCATGTTCACACTCAGAGGCCAGGCCACCATGCCACCCACACCTCCCCTGACACACATCATTCTTCAGGAATGCAATCATTATTGCACCATTATCTCGGTCACCTAAGTGACAACCTTATCTGAAATCTATTTGTAGTGGAAAAAAAACACTGTCCTTTTCCTCTTCAGCCTAGCAGCCCACTAACCTGAGAAGAAAAACTCACCTAATTGATAACAAGGGTTATAAATCTATCAATTTTTAACAAATGTGTCTGCTTACTTTGTATTGTATTTTCATAACTCCGGGTGCAGTCAGGTTGTCTGAAGTTTATTTAAAATACCATAAATCACTTTCTCTTCTTTGGTTAGAACAAAGGTATAGACAAGTAACTTTATCTTTGCATGCAAGGGGAAGAATTATGAGGAAATCTTTGGAACAGGGACTAGTTACAGTTATGACTTGAATATTTCAAGTGATCCCATTACAATCTTTATTGTGCAACGGCAACTGAAGAATAATCAGAATGATTTGAAATATAATCTTTTGTTGATTTCCTTCCTTTAGGGACACAATTACGACACTAATGTAATTACACTTTGTCTACTGGATTTACAGAAAATAGGACCTCACTGCTTACAGAATCCTTTATACATAGTAAAGGAACAATGAGTCAGCTTAATAGTTAACCTTAACTTTTTGCTGATTATCAATCATCAGTTTTATTGCTCTTGGTCTTCGAACCACAAGCTACGTCCTTGATTTGTTGTGATAAGACCAAGAGATACAATATCCTTTCTTTTACCGAAGCTTTGCATAAAGCTCTTAAAGTGCTGTAATGTGCAATTAATGTTACTTTGAGACCAGTTATTTCCAAAATTAGCTTGAGGCAATCAAGCCAGTGAAGTGGGAATTTTGTAGTCAATATGTTATTTTCTTTTATTAAAAAGGCTCTGCTTTATGAAACTTTATTTTTGGTTCACACTGCACAAATAATAGTTTCTCACCAGACATAATGGAGAATTATGCAGCCAAGCAAAATTAACTTACCAATGCTCCTTGAAACTTGAAATCTTGAGTCAGAACCCTCATATTAAATCTGAGCTAAGGCTGTGTTGGATTTTAGAATTAACCATGCTGAAAAGGCTGTATGGATGGATAGGTCAATGATTACCTATCGTGACATGTATTAATGTTTTATAACAGTTATTAATGATTATAAACCTATTATGTTAAATATTTTACCTGTAATCGATTCTAAACGACACTATACTAAGAAACTGATATTTTCAGTTTTTGGATATTCTTTTGCTGGTTATTTGTAGGTCATTAAAAAAAAATTTATTTTTCAAAAAATATTTTTTAATATTGAAATGTAACAATTTAAATCAAGGTGGGATCCACATTAGCCAAATACCTTTATTTAGTAAGCATACGAGACATACTTTTTAAAAATAATATACATGATTATTTAAAAAATAACAATAAAATGTACCTGTAAATGTATAGGTAAATATTGTAAGAAAACAAATGTATACACATGTATCACAAGAGCTGTTTTAGATACTGGATTTGAACAGCTGAATGGCTGGCACAGTCCAGCAACTCTGACAGTCAAGAATCAGTATTACTTGAGTCTTGAGTCCAGACTGTAGGACAGTTAGCAGAGCCTGAAGATCTGTATAATGTACAGTATCTATACGTTTTACTATTTGGGATCACTTTGGTCTCTGCAAGATTATAGCAGCAGCCATTAACCCACCACCAGAAGATCCCTCTTGTTAGATTTCTGTTCTTTAACCTGAACGTCTCTCATTTGAAACCCAGTGAGATCAGTTGATAGAATTAATTCCATAAAGATTTCAGTTTAACATCCCTATCTAATACATTCATTGAGTTTCTCTATCTTGAAGCGTATGTAATAGATCATGTTTGATTGGAGATATTTCATTTTATTTCTGATTGACAGATATAATTAGCAGACCTATGCTGACTGGAATGTATATATCTGAGATGAGCTACAGGGTTTACCCGCCCCTTTATTTATTTTAGCCCTTTAAGATGTCAGGAATCCTGTCTGCTGGTATCTGCACTTAATCACTTTTTTCAGTAAGCAGAGCAAGGTTTGATAAATGCAGCAGATGGATTATTTTCAGCCCTCTTTTGAGCCCTTTGGACATTAACTAGAGTGCAGATTCCCTCGTTCTGAACAAATTGGAGCATATGCACCTGCTGCCACGGACTCGCCATATAGACAGTTCTCTGAGGAGCACTGCATACTCTGAATTTACTCAAGCACAGCAGACAAAAGTATAGCAGCCCTGATGATAAAAAGGAATCACCTTAATCTTAAATCCAGACTGTGGTAGGACAGGGCCTGAGGATGTTTAACAGCACAAAGACAACTGCAGTGTGTCATGAGACAACACTTTGCTCTGTTCAAAATAAAATCTAAATCTAACAACAAACGTGAAACAAACTAACTGAGGATTAACATCACCATTAGCAGTTAAAATTACTTGTTGCAGTCTGATTAAGACGTGACCCAGAGGGAAAGTTGGAAGCTGCATTGCATTACATTCCATGTGGAAAATTTGCTTTCTTCATTATGACTCAATATAAATTCAACAACTTTGAACCACCGCGTTTTGAATCTTATAAACATTGTGCAATTGATTGCTTCCTTTCAATCTGCACATAAGAACACGTGCTTGAGTATTTTTCTCAGCCTGCAGTACAGCCAAGGTCAGATTTCAAGTCATTAGCCTGCCTTTCACTCTGTGCATAAATCACTGTGGTGTATCAGTAATAAGGAAGTTTACCTGTTAAGAGGTCTTTTAAATGCACTTTAGAAGTCATGTGGCTATAGAGAAGTGCCTCCGGCGTGTTCCTGTAATTCATGGTCTCATATTAACTCCCATTTTCCTCATGAACATGGCCATTTCGTCTGTGCTACCACCAACTTTGCGGCAAAGACAATCATTATAGATAACATTTATTAAATCAGTTATATAACTATATGAACCCATTATCTTAGTCGCTATAAGATTAATTTCCCTCCTGTTATCACACTAGTTTTATTGACCGCATCCTATTGCTTATGTATCTGTTATGAAATGTATCTTTCTGTCATTACATATTGGGTTTGAATTTTCCTTCCACAGTCGTAAAGGGTCTGTAACCTTGAAACTTTTCCTACTTAGTTATATTTGCTTTCTTCTAGTAGGAATTGTCTTGTGGATGTTTCCCAATGATTCATCCAAAGGTCTGAGGAAATGCCACCCATAGCCCCATAAACTGCAGCTACAGAACAACATGTGCCCTGCACTTCAGACAATAATATTAGTAATCAATTCTCCAGAACTCAGGCAATGAGCGTCTTTATCTCTCGTTTAGAGTTTATGACTTGGTTAATCGTTAAGCAATGCCTTTGTGTCCCCTAGGATGGAGCAAGGACATATCTGACACCCCTCGGGTCAATTCTCTGAGGGTTGATCCAAAGAGTTAGCCAATAGCTGGCAGCCAGTGTATGACCCTGGGATGCAGGGTATAAAGGTAGGCCATCTGAGACAAACCGAGCTTACACACAAGAATCTAGGAGCAGCAGAGGAGATCTCTAATTTTAATAGCCTAGCCTAGTCTACACATCAGTAAAGGAGGATAACACCACCAGCTGATGCAGTGCTCTGCTCTTTTAAAACACTGTTGGATGACTGAATACTTGACTGTTTAAAATCTGAGAATCTCCTTCAGCATTCCTGATGGAGAGGTTAAAGTCAAACGGCGGGGAGCATGTTAACCCCGCTTATGATTCCAATCTGGATGAACCTCCTATCTATGAGGAGGCCAACGGGGATCACCGGACGGTCCGGCCCTCGGTGATCAGTGCCTTTGGTCATGACACTTTGGACCGACTGCCCAACATTGACTTCTATCGCAATGCAGGCAGTGTGAGTGGTCACCGGGCTGTGCGACCCTCCCTGCAGGAGCTCCACGAGGTGTTTCAGAAGGTGAGTGCATGTACATAATGTCTGTGAGTGAAGTTGGTAAATACGAATGATACAGATCCTCACCAATGTTCTCTTGTTGTCTTTCTGTTTTCACTGCAATGAATAGTCTGCACACATTTTCCTCTTTTCTTAAGCATGTTTGTCCTTTACCTCACCTTCTGCAGAAAGTATTTTATGCCTGTTTTTCCCAAAATTCAACTCACTGACTCAGTAACTGCAGTCTTTGTTCTGCTCCCGGGCTCCCAGTCCATTCACTCAGGTTAAAGACTCAAAACAGAGTGAAGTGAGATATTTTACAGTTGTTTAATCATTCAAACATCATCACTTTCAGTGTCCACAGTTCAGTCATTAAATATTTGCCTTAAGACTTGTGAAACTAGAAAGGACACTGAAAGTTATTCTGGAACACAACAGCAATTGACACACTTAAGAGTTTTTAGTGCTTTTTATTAGGCCGTTATACTGCTGTGTGTTGCAAAAGAGATGGGGTTGTAGGTAATTTGGGTTTTATAGGTTGAACTAGATTAGCATTTCTGAACTGATAAAAAAAGACGGATGTTTTAGACGTATTCCGTGGTAGAGGATGAAAGAAAGTTTAGGACAGGTTGCAAGATATAGTCTGAATGTGTAAGGCAATCTATCACCTAATCATCAGCGTCTTGAAAGGAAGATCTTAAAAGGTTTCACCAGGAACTAGTGATTCATGTACAAATCCCCAAATTTATTAGAGAAGACTAAATAGAGCTGACTCATAGTTTATATATAGTTTAGTTTATAGCATAACTCTGTGGTACATTTAATGCACAAATATTTGGCGAGCTACACTTGGAATTAATGAATGACCTGCAACACATAGTTGCATGTTACAAGTAATCCAAGATTTGACTCAATACGATAATTTTCTATAATCACAAACAATGACAGTGTCTTGCTAGTCATAATTTCTTTCATTAAATGGTAATGAAATGCATCTCAGTCACTATTCATCTTCATTGGAAGTTAAAATTAGGTGTATCTTATTCTCTTCAGTTTACATTGACAGATCCACATTGACACAGTGGTGTGACATCTCTAAAAAAGTTTTCATCAATATTCATCTAAATCAAACCACTGTGGTTTCATCTTCCTCTTGCAGTAGAAATCCAAACACACATCACTACATGAAACTGTATCAGTATCTCCTAATGAGAGAACAGAGAACACTGCAACTCATAATGATGAATGCTCTTTTTCTTACAATTGAAAAACATATATTAACACCAAAAATGCTAAAAGCACCATCATCATGATTATATCCCGGTTCATGTACATGTTTCCTTTCCCTTATATTTACCTCTGCATTTTCCCAACAGAATGGAGCAATCTCTGTGCCAGACACTGTGGAGGACGATGGTGAGGGGAGTGACGGGACCCCCTCTGATGATCTGGAGTCTGCTGTTCCCACTGACAAAGGAGCAGTAAAGTTTGGCTGGATAAGGGGCGTCCTGGTGAGTTATGTTGGGTCATGATGGGCTCCCTCTGCTTTATAGAAGCAGGGTCGCGCTACATAACTGTGACCTCGATGACATAGCGGGGCCAAGTAGAGCTCTCCATACCAGAGTCTGGGAGTGATTTGCATTTTCTCAAGTGCTACTGACACAAATATCAAAAAAAGACCCCAAAAGTGCTGTCTAGTAATTTTTAAAATTGAGTAACAAATATTTCAGTTGTCAATGAAATGGAAACTGTAGTTACAACATCTAAATGTTCAAGTATGCATCTCAGTAACATTGCCGTGTTTCTATCCCCCACTTGACATAATAAGAAATTATGACTTACACTGAAGATACTGAACTTAAATTGTTCTTCTGTTCTACAGGTGAGATGCATGTTGAACATCTGGGGTGTCATGCTGTTCATCCGTCTGTCCTGGATTTTTGGTCAGGCAGGCTGGGGTGAGTGAAACAAGGCTACGTGTTGGTTAGATGGGACATATGGGTACACAGAGACCCTAAGGACATAGCTGTGTTTAGTATATGTTAAATTTTTCTCTTCATTTATTTAAATAGCTATTTTCTACACATGGCTACCTTCTTCCTTTTTTATATATTTGGGATCTGCTGCTAATGTAGGCCTTTTAAAAATCCTACTAAATTGTGCAACTCTTCAGTCGAGCCCCTCTACATCATCAGTCAACCCAAACATGAGTCCCACAGTCCCAGTTGAACCAGGGTTCTTTTACAGGTTGATAATGTTGTCTGGAGAAACAGCAGACAAATCCAACCACCCGACATGTTTTGAGAAATGAAGGCGCTGTTCCCAGTGATTCTAGGAACTAAAGAGACAATTAAGGATTATATAGTCCTCCACTCATTAGCAGGGAGTGATTGAATTGGGGCAGATTCAACTGAACTACCCTTTTCTGAGGTTCCATAGCGATCTGAACTTGCTGAAGGTCTATGCTGAGTGCTATGAGCACTGTGTGTGTGCCAGACACAGAGAGTAGGGGGAAAATTGTGTGAATGGCTTCATGAGTGTGTTCATTGCTTAAGAACCAATCGATCGGCAGAAGCTTTTGTTCAGGCGGCGTAACTAAATGGTTTTGAGAAGCAGAAAAAGCTGCAGGCTGTAGGGAGAGCAGGTACAGCAGACAGCTGTAACTTACAGCCTCCAGACTCCTCAGGGACTTTGAGTCTCCTTCTGTGTTTAAAGGTGACAGTGGGGAGGGGGGGGTTTCATTTCAGAATTAACTTTATGTCTGGCCTCTTAAATATAATGCTTGAGTAAGTTGTTAAAAAAAACAATTATCTGAGCTTTTATATGTGTGCATTGCAGGTCTGGGAATTGTGGTTATTGCTCTCAGCTGTGTGGTCACCACCATCACTGGCCTTTCCATGTCTGCCATTTGTACTAATGGCGTGGTCAGAGGAGGTAAGTCAAGACATTTCATAAACAGAAGCAATTTGAATTTAACCTTTCATGCGAGCATTTCACTCATAACAGATACTCACATAACAAAGACAGCGCAGCTGGCATCAACAGTTTAAAAATGATTTATGAATGTATACAGCCTGAGATAACACACAATGGTCATGAATGGAATGACCAGGAGGAGTTTGGGTAAACACAAGGCTTAAAACTGCACCTGAATGTCACCTTTTGAAGCCTAATCTCTGTTTTTACAGCCTATTTAACTTTTCCTGACATTAAATCAATGAATAAGTGATATGGCAATTAATCATCCACCATTTTTTCATTTCAGGAGGGGCCTACTACTTGATATCTCGAAGTTTGGGACCAGAGTTTGGCGGATCGATTGGCCTAATTTTCGCCTTTGCCAATGCAGTGGCTGTGGCCATGTACGTGGTGGGATTTGCTGAGACTGTGGTTGAGTTGCTCAAGGTGAGTAATGTTATAATGATCACGTGATCTCATTCCAAGATATTTGACTGTACACTCATCCATGCTTTTTCTGACGCACTCAGGAGCACAACGCCATCATGGTGGATGTCATAAATGACATCAGAATCGTTGGATGTATTACAGTGGTGCTGCTATTGGCTATATCTGTTGCTGGAATGGAATGGGAAGCCAAGGTAAGAGATGAACATTATGCTGGTTGTTTGCCAATCTCTGGGCTTGCTGTGGTAAAACGTCCAACTATAACTGTAATCAATTTAATTATTTTGTCCTCATAGGCACAGATTCTTCTGCTCATTATCCTCCTGGTGGCCATAGTGAATGTGTTTGTAGGAACATTCATTCCTGTAACCACTGATAAGAAATCCAAAGGCATCTTCAATTATAACTGTAAGACACCCTCTCCAAACCAATGCACATCTGCATTACAAAAGCTTAAAAACGTGAAACTTTGACTCATTCACAAAGCACTGTTCACCTAATTTCTCACATTTTTCATTTCTCTTCCCTCTCTCACTCTCTTTTTTACAGCGAAAATCTTCTTAGAGAACTTTCCTCCAGATTTTCGAGAGGGCGAGTCATTTTTCTCAGTGTTTGCCATCTTTTTCCCTGCTGCAACTGGGATCCTGGCTGGAGCCAACATCTCTGGCGACTTGCGGGTAACTTTTTCATACAGAAGTCATTGCATAAGACCAATGCAGAGGAATCATGAGCTAATATGGTACATAGGTTTTAAACATAAAGCTGAAGGTGAAAAAAAAAAAAAAAAA